GCCGGGCCCGCCGCGGGGGAGTCTAAGCCCAAAGGCGGTAAGGGCCGGGGTGGGGAAGGAGGCAGCGGGCGAGGAGACCCGATCCACGGTGCCCCGAGCTATCCGGCCGTCCCGCGGAGCCCCTGAACTTCAGTGGAGGCCTTGGCCGCAGCCCAGGGCTCCAGGCCCAGCGTTGGGCTCGGCGCGGGGCTGAGCTCTTGCTCAGGGTGTTTGTTTGTCTCCTCGCTGGGTGTTGACAGCTTTGCCTCACGTCACTGCTTCGTTTTGCTTTCCTTTTCCTTCTTCCTGGTTTGTGCTCGGCTTTTTTTTTTTGTCAGCTGTAGCTCCCATCCCCCGCTTTTCTTTGGAAGGCTGTTTTGTTTTGTTTGTTTATTGCCGTTCTGTTTTTCTTCTCCCTTTAAGGGTTTACATTCCATTTCCATTAGCTTTGGAGCATCCAGCATGAGAGACAATGTTTTAATGTTATAGGCAGTGGCAAACACAAGTTTCCTCTCAGAGGAACCCTAACTTTATTCTGTGCTCCCACTGAGCACATTGGTGTCTTGTTGAAAGAGGCTTTCCTGTGTTGTACATAGAATTCTCTTCCCAGGCTGTATTTTCCTAGCCTGCTTAAGGAGAGCACTGAGTGCACAGCATTGTGTGTGCTTATCTGGCCCCTAAAGTGAAGTGTAACATCACCCCAACAAAAAGCTAGAAGTGGGACAGTAATATTTAGTACTGAAAGGGCGTAGGAAGTACACGGTAATAATTTCTGTAGCAGTCTGTACTTAACTTCCTTCCTCTTTAATGTCTTGCTTCAGTTGTTTCTGAGGAAATAGTAATGTATGCCATACTGCATTTATTGATGCGCTATCTTAAAGACTTACCTAATTTCTGAACATACTAAATGCACTTGGACCCCAGTGACCTGTTATTCACCTGTATTAACCAGCCTCTCCCACAAAAGGCTCTACTGGAGTCTGTCTGTGGGAGCAGCTGGAATGTGACACTTCCAGAGCTTCCAAGATCGTATTAAACTGTGTGATTATAGTAAGTTTTAAGCTCGAATTCAGACATGTAAAAGTGACCTGCAGTCAGCTTTCTGTAAGAGCTCCTAGCTCACTTGCAAAGATTCGCACATCCAGAACAGGATTTGATATGAGATTTTCGTATTCCTAAATATTTTATTTTCAGTGGTAGTCTCTTATTTTTCTTCCTTCTAATGCATGGACGGATAAAAATGAGGGAGACAGAATCACCTGATAGGTATGAAATAGTCTTTAGAAGGAAATTTCTGTCTTCAAATGCAGTAAGAGAATGTATAAACTCCAGTGTATGTATTTTAAAAGGCAGTGTGAAAGGCTAGCAGATATGAGGGCTCATGTTGTTGAGAACTGGCTGTTAGAGTCTTGCCAAGAGATATCTCCTTGCTATAGCTTATTTTTAGTAGTATATTGTTAGGGAAAATGTAGTTGTCAGCATATATACTGCTGAATGGAGGGCTGTTTACAAATATCCCTCAATAAGGAGCTTTTAATAGGAGTAAATGTATGTATGGGAATTGTTTCTCTGGAGGATATTGACTCCTAAAATGAGAAGACTCATTTGGTCAGACTAAAGGAAAGGACTAAATGTCTGAGCTCATAGGTTGCAGCAGTGTTCAACAGTGGGTATGTTTTGGTGGCCATTGCCTGCAAGACACTGGCATGTCACCATACAGGATTTCTTTCTCTTTCCCATCCTTGGAATGGTATGGCTATGTGCAGATTTGGTGGTCCACCCAACTTCTGTCCTGTTTCAGGACAGGTAAAGGAGGCTTCTTAATAATCTTGCATCTCATTTAAAATGGAAAGTCTTCTTAATGAACTTCAGCTTCTCCCCAAAATGTTGATCTTTTGTTACATGAGTGACTTCTGCACTGCATTTAACTCCCAGCCAGGTTCTTGCCACTTTGCTTTTCTGAGTTACCTGCTCTTACTCCAGCTGGGGAAGTGCGGAAGGGAACATTTCTTAAACGTTGTGGTAGCCTCTCCACCCATTTTCCTTGCAGTGCAGCTTAAAACAGGCTAAATCGGACCTTGTAGGCCCTGGTGCTTGTGGAAGTTGCAAGGTGGATTTGCCATCTGGAATGGATTTACCATTCAGGTCTTTATTCCAGAAAACAAATTCAGATATTTCCGACAGAAAAGTTGCCCTCAGTTCTATGAGGGCGCTAGCATGGGTTGTGTCCCAGAGGGTGCAGTGTTTTCATATAGTCACAGTCAGGCCTGCTGTTCCGCCACCCAGAATCTGTTTGCACAATACAACTGATTTCAACACTATAGGCAGATAAAGATGGAAGGAAACTGCGTTCATCACCCTGGCAGCAAACCAGTCCTGCAGCTCCAGCATCTGTCTAGCCACCTAGAGCTGTTTTCAGACCTGTGACCTCCCTGGTGGGTAGGAGGACGTGGATCTATGGGGAGAAAGGCTCTCTAGCATCATGGAGGGCCCAGGAGGAGAAACAACAGGTGGTAAAGCTGAGTTCTCAAAGCCAAGAATAACTTTGTTCCCAGCATTATGAAGTTCTGATGTGAGACTGTAGAGTGAGTTAGTTATAGGGAAACACAGTGTTCCAGTTTAAAATGTTTTTTCAAACTCTTGGTGACTCATAAAGACTTGAGGAGTCTCTCTGAAAGGAGACTGCGGAGCATAGGAAGTATGCTAATACCAACTGAATGACGGAAGTGGTGCCTTCAGTGGTGATTAATTTGATTAACACTATAAGTGGTGGGAAATTCTTGTGTCAGCTGCAGGCAGGTTAAGTTTTCCTGGACAGTGTGAAGAGCTAAGAAAACTTGCTTTAGGCAGAACTTAATTCTTCTTGTGCTTTTTCCTGAGTTGGTGATGAGAGAGGAACAGCAAAGTTGTGGTGAACCCACTAGGCATGTACTCTTTGAGAGCATTCACTGGAATTGTAGATACAGGTGAGCTCTGCATGTGAGTAACTGCAGTAGTATAAACTTTGTCAAATAACCTAATTTTTGAGCAGAGACTTGGTGGTGTGGCTTATAGCTTCTTCTCTATAAACACTCTCAAAAAAGTTCTGTCTAGATAATGATTAAGCCAGGCCTGGTCACACCCGCAGCTCTTGGCAGCTTCTGAGGTGTTTTTCTTCCAGATAACGCTCCGGCCTGACTTGTATAGCACTGCAGACCAGAGGAGAAGAGCGTGTTTGAGTTGTCTGTCTGCGGTGTTGGTGGAACTGGTTTAATTCCAAACATATCTAGGACTGGCATTCAAATAGCTGAGTAAGTGACCAGCTCTGGTAGCAAAATCTGTCTGCAGAATGGCTCTGTCGCATCGTGTGACAGTCGTGGTGGTGTCTTGTGGGTGTATTGAGGAGCAGGGTCTCTGTGATGGTGAGCCAAAGACCTTTATTTAGGGTTAAACAACTTACAGAGCTTCCGAGCCCGGAGCAGCCCCTGCCCTGCCGGGCAGCACGCGGAGCCCAGCAGCCCAACCAGCCAGGGGATCCCGCACCGACCAGGCACGAGGCCGCCCAGGGAGCTGCCTGGTCACGCGCTGGCCGCGTGGCTACAGCTCCCACCTCTCCTGCTCAGCCCCCCATCTGCCGAGGAGACACTGCCCGGCACCGGGCGCAGGCTGACTGCAGCAGTGTCTTCCTGTGGCCGTGGTTGCGGGCAGAGACTGAGGCCCAGCGTGGCCAAGAAACAGCAACATCACAAGATACAGTTAAGCTGTTTTCATCATATACTCAGCTCTTAAATAGCAGGATCCTCAGTGATGCGCAAGAAATGTAGCCCTTTCAATCCCTCTCCTCTCTTTGTGCTGAGAGAAAATTACACAATAAAAGTGACACGTGAGTGGTCTAATTCCAGCTGCTTTAAAGGCTTGGGCAGCTTGGAAGTGGTGCAGGGGAAGGGCAAACTGGAAGCACTGGTAATAAGTGACCTATATGAGTAAGGTGATCCTGAATCATGGAGGAACACTTGTCTCCCATGTAAGACTTATTTTAAGGGGTGGAGCAGACTCTGAAATGGGGAAGGGAGCCCTAGTAAGTTTTTATAGCTGGATTTAGCTCATGGAGGAACACTTGTCTCCCATGTAACTTATTTTAAGGGGTGGAGCAGGCTC